ATTACAGAGCGAATGAATCAGGAAATCTTGGCCTACCTACGGGCATTTGTTACATACACACAATTTGACTGGAAAGAGCTACTCCCATGCGCCATGTTAGCGTTGAACAATAGAAAGTCAGCCGCACTTGGAATGAGCCCATTTTTTATCGAACATGGCTACCATATAGAACCAATTCAGCAACAAGAAGCTTTTAGTTTCCCTTCAGATCCGGCAAAAAGGGCTCAGGATTTCGTGAATAGACTGAAGGAGGCAGAAGAGATGGCACAGGCAGCTATGGCGTCGGCACAGCATACCATGGAGGAGTATTCAAACAAAAGCCGCAAGGGGGCTGATATTTTTAAAATAGGATACCAGGTATGGCTAACCTTGAAGAATATTCAGACCCCACAACTATCGAAAAAACTCTCATGGATAAATGCGAAGTACCAAGTAACAAAAGTCATCGACTCGCATTCAGTCGAATTAAATACGCCACGATGTATATGGCCACGCTTTCACGTTGATTTGCTAAAAAGGGCAGCTACTCACCCACTACCGTCCCAAATCACTGACGACGCTCAACCTCCACCAGTAAAATCGCAAATACAAGACGGTCAATTAGATAATGAAGAGTCCCAGTAATTTGTCGAGAAAATTTTACGAGCTGAAAATTGGAAAATTGGGAAAGGGTATCAACGTTTAGTCCTAGTTAAGTGGAAATGATTTGCTGATCCCACGTGGGAACATAGGGTTAATTTGGAAGAAACTGAAGCGCTGGATATTTTTGAAGCACGTTATGGAACGAAAGATAATGTTAGTGAAGATTCTGGTGCAATATTAGGGCATAGAAAAATTACAAAGCGAGCGCTGCTGGCAGGGTTATAATTATTCACCTAATATTCACACCAAAGGGAGAAGGGGAGTAATGTTACAGGCTTTTGCCTTGTAGATGGGATCCGGAGTTTATCCGGCTCCTAGGAGTTGATTATGTCAGCGATAAGCGAGACAACATCTAGGGGGTGATCCCATAAGTATGTAGTTTTTCTCTTTAGACACAAAATAAACCCATTTTGGATACACTCGTGCGGACAGCTATTCACTCTAGTGCCATCCTTTCACAAGGGGTCGCCGCAAAACCCTCATGAGAATTGATGGTTCCTAAACGCACCGGTAGCCAGCCCGTCGATGGACTCTGAGAGAGAGAGCCCATGGGTCAAATGAGTCGACCCGAAAGAAACCAAAAAAAAAGAACCTAAACCTGGCAGCTACAGTACGAAAGCTGTCACAATTAGAATAATTCGGCTCTTTTCCGAAGTTTGTCGAATCCCCAACCTGACAGCTCCCATCCGAAAGCTGTCGCAAAAATTTTCACTGCTGCTTTCCGACAGCAGTTAGAACCTCAACCCAGCAGCTCCGCTTCGGAAGCTGCCATTTATAATCTTAAGACTTCCCTTCTTAAAGTCTTCGCCATTATCTAAGCAGAGGGAACTTCGTCAAGTTATCCGACAACAAAAAGTCTCTACAATAGCCAAGGCTTCAACATTATCACCATTTCAACGGCTATCTTCGTTTCATTTTATATTGTCGTGGGGGAGATAAGTCAATAAGTAGAAGAACAGTTGATTACAAAAAGACCAAAGCAAGATAGAAATAAATCCAAGTGGAGCTTGGTGATATTATGAGAGAGCTATCACACGGAACACTTTGAAATAAAAGTCTTTGGAAGGGATACTCTAGTGGGGCATGTTGCTTGTGGAGGGAAACGAGACAATGGAACACTAGAGATTTGAATGGAATATACACCGGAACAACCACGGCACGGAAACTGGGAGAGTGTATTTGAGAGCTGAGAAAGGCTGACGCTAAGACGCCAAAATCCTGGGGGAGCCTCTGAAGTTAACAACAAACTGCCAGGTCACTCGGGATAAGCTTAGGACTCTACGGTGTACGTGGAGGAAAATGAGAGGAGATGAATCAATTCTAAAGGATACGCTGCTTAGATTGATTCATCGAAAATTGGAAGACCAGTTTGGGAGCAGACAACTAATCATTCAAGCAAACGTCTAATGAAGTAAAGATACAGGAAGACAAGGAATACGCCCAATTAGCCTATGGGGGAGTGTTAGAATTTAGAATAATTGAGCCTATCATGTAGGCCACGTTGTTGGTACACACGTGACTACAAATTCTGTACTTAGTTTCACTTCGGTAGTTACTTGAATCAATGTGCTCTACAACCTCAATGACTGAGGGGACATTTTATCCTTAATAAATTTTAAATTTGATTTCAACTAACCCGATCAGGCACCCTATGGGTCCATGCAGGTGACTATCTGCATTATTTACAAAGGAGGAAACCAATTTGGTGAAAACCCCCTGATCCTGTCTTTTTATGTTCCTATCAGTATATTTGGTTTACCTTCAGGAAGTACAGTGTACACTGTTCAGCCGGTGTGGATTCCGTCCTCTCCCCTTCCAGATCTATTTACTTTATCCGACATTGCTACCTCGACTTCTCCTGCCAGTCAAAACTGTTTTATCCACCTTTTGTGGGCTTCTTTTGTCGATGAGTCAACGGCACTCCCCAGCGCCCTGGACGGTATAAAAGAAGTTAGGCAAAGCTACTTTACAGCAATCACGCTCTGTCAAGACTTTTCTGGCATTTCAGCACGACCTTCGGGAAGGAGTTGGAAGGAGGCCAGAAAGGCAGAGGGTGAATTTCCCGAGGTACCCACAAGTCTGCAGCGCCTTGCTGGCCGGCCTCTTCGAACGCTTCAGAAGGGGCAATATGTCTTCGGATTTATTCCTAATGTCGGTATTAGAAGAGCCCCGCACCCAGTGGTTTTTTTCGAATTTTCCCGGCTGCCATACACCCGCAAATGGCCATCGTTTCGTTGGCTGGAGAGGGGAGATAATGAAGGGCTAAGGGCTCCTCTAAGTGTATGATCGAATGAGGACTTGTGAGGGGTGGTACTGTGTGAGGGGAGCTGTATGGGAGGCATAGGAGGGGATATACTACTGGTATAGGTATCCTTGGCCTGTAGGCAGAGAGGACCTGCATGTCCCACATAGTCATAGACTCAGATAGGACAATAAAATGAATTAATTAAATCCACCTTTTGTTTAGTATCTGTTGGAAATATCGCGCAATGTAATGGGCGCAATATTCATGGAACGAAAGTAGAAGTTGACTAAAAGAGTGTCATGTTCGGATTACAGCTAAAAGTGTGGGAAGTGTGCGCTACAAGTACAAGTGTAAGCGACACAGAGCCTAAGCCACAGCATAAACGAGTGTGGCGCCATCTAGGCATAGAAAACCCCCAATAACCTCCTTGCGCCCACGCCATACAGCCGCTCATATGTCCAATAGGTAGCCTGAAGCGCTACCATATTACCTGTTCCAACCTCTTAAATATACACGAGATCGTGTCAGGAACCTAGACGAAATGGAGGGCCCATACGTCCACAACACTCCGTGTCTCCATTTCCAACAGTATCCACTGTGTGATTCTAGCCACATCTCCTGGGCTGTTCATCATTGCTTCAAATAACCTGTCTTTAACTTGTCGGAGAAAGTCGCCTCTTCCATTTGCCACTGCGGACACGCCAATACCATATGCTTGACGTTTTGCGACGAATATCCACATTGACAGCTTGGCTTTTCTACTTCGGGTACTTTTCTTCTGCTCAGGTAAGAATTGAGTCCGATATGCTCGCTCCTTAGATGAATGGCGACACTGCTTTGGGCCCTGGTTAGGCTACTGTGGATTCTTAAGGGTGTATCTTTGAAGTTCATTTTGACGCTGCCTGTTTGTTTATCAGTAAATATATTTGCCGCGTCGATATTGTACCCATCATCTGCATCATTTTGTAATCTTGTCCTGATTTCTCTCTCACCTATCCCGTAGAACTGTCTCTCAGATTTGTGTGCCACGCTTGATTTCCTTCGTCGGGTGTAAGTATCGGCGTGGGTGCATATTTGGTAGTCATCTCAGGCCAGAGAATAGTCGATATGAGGTATGGTCATTAAAAGAAGGATGTACTAAGTCACCCCTGTAAACTTGGTGAGGTTTTGGTGTGAATCGAACTCGTTGGGTGGGAATATTTGATTTGGTGGAGTATTTTAAAATATTGCTTCGTGGGCCAACTTCTTCGAGATTGCAAAATTTGACTGATCTTGACACTGGGAGAATGTTTCACTCCCAGGTTCGTAAATGATACCGCGTATAGGTGTTCAGTCTTGCCCTCTATTTTAATAATTATAGAGGAGACTAATTGGGTGAAAAAAGAGCGTCTCCATTGTACTCGAAATTCATGTACGAACTCTTGTATTTCAGTGGTCACAAGCCGGTAACGTTGTTCATGTGTCGATATAATCAGGATTTGAATTCAAGGCTGACAAGAAAACACATAAAATTCTGCAAGTTTCATAAGAGTAAAATGCAATCATACAAGAGCTAAACCAACTGTCCAGTAGTACCAACATGCATCATCCGGCAAGCATTTATAGTCATTCCGTCACCTGAATTCGTAACCTTGAATTAATTGTATTTGCACTTAGATTATTCCATTAGTTGCTTTTCCCATGTCATGCCTCAGTTGTCAGCTGTAAATCAGATGGCAAATCTCATTTGTACTACGGGATGGCGATCATATTTGCTTTATAATATCAACTTGGACTCTAGGGGTGAGTGGAAGCGGTAAATTTCTACTCAGAGATTCGGTACGTACTTCAGGAAGAAGAATATGAATTCTGGCTCTCTCTCTTCCTTGCACATTCATGCAAGTTCAGTTTATCCAATAGGACATAAATGGATAAATAAATTAATCCTTGGGGAGCGCGACACGAAAGATATCATCTTCCAGTCATCAAGTTTGCTGATGCGGGCCCATCCGTCCGATTAGTGTCCACTATGACGTACACACTAAATCATGCTTCCGATGTCTGCTTAGTCATGTAGCGATGAGAACCAAGGGGCCAAGTAGCTTGGCTACATCCATACCTCCATCTTGCTGCTACAACTGATCCGCAAATATATCATCCACACATAACGCCTGCCGAAGCCGAACCATTCGCCCGAACATTCCTCATTAATTCGACACTCATCCTGGTGCCCAACATGATGACCATCATCCTTGACGAGAACTACGGGTATTCCTGGACTTACGCGGTGGGAGTTGAATTGATTGCTGACGGCGGGTCATAGCTATGTCTTGCTCGCGGCAACGAGTACTTGCCTGCTCAATACCGTCCACACTCTCAATACAGGCCATTTCCGGCGCGCAGCTGGTGTCGAGTATCCCGCCGCCTATGCCCCACCCACACGTACCGACAAACTTGCTCTACGTTTCAATTCGGCTCAACGTGCGCATGCAACCTACACTGAGAACCACCCGAGCATGGTAGTGGCCCTATTAATTTCTGGCTTACGATTTCCCCTTACAGCTGCTGCGCTGGGCCTAGGCTGGACCTTGAGCCGCTGGATGTACATGTCAGGGTAAGTCTAATCAGCTTTCGGAAAGCCTAACCCATTTCCAACTTCGGTGGCTGAAACCACCTCTTTTTACAGTTACAGCCGAGGCGATGAGGCTGGTAAGGGACGATATCGTGGTATTCAATTTTTCCTATTCCAATTTGCACTCATGGGTATGGCGGGCTACGTGAGCCTGGCCCTGACCATGGGTTGGTGAGAGACGACTCCGGTCGAAAGAATTAGCTGGGGTATCGGTTGTGTTACATCATTGCTCGCGCTAATCCTGCTATCAATATCTGAATAGCTTGAGCTAATGTAAATAAATTCCTTATCATACTCAGTATCAAGAGCATTCTTGCCAATGATTGCTACGCAGACCAACCTCGAACAACGGCTCCCTACATACCCATGCTTAGTGCCTTAGCATCCAATTTTTTACCTACGCCTGTTAAAGGAAACGACGGCAGGCTGAGGATCCCAGAGCTCAAGTATTCAGGAACCAGGGACTAGTCATGGCGATCTCTAACCCCAAGCGGATAAATAAAGGGGTGCCGCTTAGGTGCAAAAGAATATTGAGTCTATAAAACGTAATTGTCCATGTATGGCAGGCTAGACAAGTAAATATGTGTTGATTGTCCCATAAATTATACGACTACGGAGATGTATAACATGCCAGACAACCTACTGCTCAAATTAGACATCGATACTGATCACCCCGAAAGTTTGATTATGTGAGTTCTGAGTGATGACAGTCTTGTTTTTTTGCATCAAATTTTAATTACGTAAGCAGTTATCTAACTATGACACAGTATAAAGGAAGAGCACTCATGTCTCAAATTTTATGTCAAAGTACCACTGCGAAGTTATGGTGGCTTTTTCTTCACCCCAAGTCAATCCTCTTCCATGAATACCCACACAGGGGAACGTCTCAAAAGTCCTAAGTTATCCAGACATGCCTCCATTATCAATTATCTTTCCTCCGCGCGATATGTGATCTGAGATGTCTCCTTCCAAAGTGGAGTAGGTGCCCAGGCTACTAAAACCATACCAGAGAACACCACCAGGAGGCGGACCACGACACCTTCCATCGTTGGCTTGTGTTTATAGTGTTAGCTGCACTCTCGCAAGCGAAGTCTTGGCACGCACAGAGCTCAATTCGTAAAACTGCTTGCCAAAATTCGAAATTTCACGATCTTCGAGGTTATATTCTTCCTTTGCATCATCTTGTAAACTTGTCCTGATCCCTCTCACGTCCATCCTATAGAACTATGTACCAGATTTGTGCGCCACGTTTTAATTCCTCCGTCGGGTGTAAATATCGGCGTGAGCATGTATTTGGTGTCGAGCTAAGGCCAGAAAATTTCGACCAGAGCTGTTCTCATTGGAATGAGGATGTTTTAGATCGTACTTGTAGACTTGATGAGGTGTTGGTGGTGATCGATCTCGTTGAGAATGAAAATTTGATATGACGGAGTATTTTGAATTTTTGCCTCGTGGGCCAACTTCTTTGATATTGTGAAATTTGACTTAACTTGGCTCTGGTTGGGTATTTCAACCCCAGGTTTGTGTAGGACCCCGCATATAGGTGCTCAGCCTTGCCCTTCTGATAGCTGTCTCATGAATACTACTAGCAACCACAAAAGTAATTACGTTTGTAGAGCAACCGCTTAACTAAAAAGAGCACATTACTAAAAATTTCATATAATGGATGTTTATCTATATATCTATGACACATGATCAATGTTATCTATACATGTAAAACGACAATTTTGACAATTTTGACGTCAGAGACGCTCATACTCTGTGTTCTATTCGCCAATACCACTGAGATATGCTTGCTTGCACAAGCAGTCAACCCTCCTCTAAAAGTACCCACTAGAGGGACGTTTCAAATATTTGATTATCCTAGCATGCCTTTGTTATTTATGCGTAGGAGTACCGCGAGAACTGTAATTTAAATTTCCCGGATTCGAGCCAGTTGTCTCTTGTCTTAAGCGGGATAGGTGTTCAAGCTAACCAGAATCTCCCTTGGATATCAGCTCAGATGATGTACCACTGAAGCATCCAACCAGAGTAGTTTTTATAGTGTCACCTGCACTCTCGAAAACTTTTCGGATTAGGTTCTGGTCAACGATGTCGAGCCTAATTTTGCTATGTTGCAGGCTACTGTTTCAATTATTCATGGGGTCATAATCGGGGTTGTGAATAGTTTCGATTAGGTGTGGATTACTAGATTGACACCTAAGCACGTCTAATGGTAGTCAGGCATGCTACTCAACTAGCAAAATGCACGGTAAACCACAACCCCAAAGTGATGATACGAATAAAGTTTTTAATGCTAGATTTAACAAGTTTAGCGTGGTTGGAAAATGGGCAATTTGCATGTAGATAGATAAAGACGTTATAGCCATCTAATAGTTGGGACAAGTCTTCTACCAAATTGTTGGAAAATATACTCTGTACGATATTATATGGATAAATATGATGAAGTAAAGAAGACTTGATATTTTATAACTATGTGAACATTGGACTTATATATACATATTAGGGGAGAAATTCCCACTAGTCTCATGTGCCTGTCAAACCTAGTGATGACTAGCCACCTCTCATCTACCATGATGATCCAAGGTACACTGTAGTACGTAAATATCCAATTGTAAATGCAACAGTAGGCGCGATTAGCGCACTCGTGACATGTGTAGAGAGAGTCGATCTTGTCGGGAACCTGAGACGAAACAGGTAGTGGTTGAGTCCTAAATTCAAGAGTCAGAATTTCTAATACAAATAATATCGGGATCAATCCTAGCCTCTCATTATGCAATCTCATGAATTATCTCCGTGTCTGTAATTATAGACCAATATACAAAGTCGACGATCAAGTTTAAAAGTTGATCAAAATCGGAGTCGTGTAGCGCATAACGCTCGACTTGGAAAGCCTCCTGTCTACACATCAATAAAGCAGCTTTTTGATGACACCATCACGTTGAGCGCGACTCGTAGTTCTCTAGATACCATTGCCTCCGAGAAAGACATGATTCCTCAGATAGAGTTGGGAACTAAAAATCATCGAGCTGTAAAATCTTTACAGAACGCCACTGAAGAAAGATTTGCCGCTCTTGGTAGACATATCGATAGTCTAGAAAAAGAAATGTAACAAAAATTCAATTTAATCATGAGTAGAGTTTGCTAAACTCTCAAATCACGAAATTGAAAAATCAAAGGACGATAATTCAAACGTGAAACAGACTGACGATACCGAAACCAGTCATAGTCCCAAGATCAGGATTGAGCAAACAAGGAAAGGATATAAGCTGGCCCTATCATAAAAGATAGCCAGCCTAACGAAATTTCCAACTAGACTCCCAGATAAGCGAATCGCTTTTTCCGCACATTTGCTACATGTCAAAGCAAGATGACTTTCCAAGAAAAATACGATAAAGATATCTAACCGGAAGCCAAATTACAATCAGAGATTTTCAACTCTAACATAGGTAGTTGTAACGATCAAAACAAGGTGATTCTGAGGCCTGAGTAGGAGCTATCAAGGGTATCAAATAATGTGTTCTTGAAACTGAGGCACATCCAAACTGCTCTATACAGCACTATGATACTATAGAATCAATAGCATCAACAAATTACCATAAAGTGGGCAATAATTTCATCCTAGTGTGCTACCTGACAGATCAATTTGATACGTCTTGGATGCAAACTTTGATGGCTATATCTGAAACTCTCGATAATCACGAGATATTTCAAGAGCGGGTTCTATAATTCGCGGGCCTGCTCCCTACAAAGATAAAACATATCTAAATTATGTTTGATGTATAAGAAACGGGTTTTCAATTCTCCCTTGCATATCTGAGATTCAGATATAGCCCGGACCATAAAAATAAAGAATATCAAAATATATATGTGACAACTGGAAGATAACACAGATAAAAAGATGGCAGTGTCGAACCAGATAAAGATTCAAATCAGGAATAAAAATCATAGGATTCTAAACTAAAAAAGGAAGAGAAGGAAAATATCTTGAGATCTACAGATCAACATAATCTACACATGTTTCGTGCGATTAAAGCATCATTATGTAATACACGAAGAGAATAATAATCTTAGAGGCACTTAAGGTAGGAAATCCAGGCCCGTAACAATATACGCCAAGCGTTTTGTCGCAAAGTCGCGAAAACAACAGCAAATATCCACTGGTGAGCTTATGAATTGATCTATAGGACTAGCAAAGGAGATTATTCAGTATGCTATTGAAATAGATATTTACAAGACCACACATGAATCAGTAGGTTTGCAACATAGCCCTCAAAATTATGACTGACACAGATGTGAGCCCTCATCAGCGATTAAAACTGATGCAACTGCAAGTAACCTAACATTAACAGTTGTCTATCCCACAATAGATGATTTGATAAATGCAGCCACTTCAGAATGCGCGTATATTAAAGAAACATTAAATTGCTACTCCTGCAGTAAAGATGGAAGTATCTATCCTTTTTTTTTTCTTTTTTTCTTGAATCATATTGTATTCAGCCAGCTAGCTATGACAAAATCTATCCTTATTGTTTTAGTAAAAAGAAAGAGTACACCCCTGGTTTCAAATCTACGCTTGTACCCCAGTCAAACAGGTAAAGTGCGGTTATAATAGTAAATTTTAATTTGGTTGATGATAATAGGTAACCAAGTCAAGCAGGATTATCTGTCGTGCTGGCTCGGTTGAATTGTTAGGAGACAGGGGAACAGAGGATGGGCTGCTGGATTAGGAAAGGGTGGAAAATACAGGCTGGTGCACAGACGCTGTTCATGTACTTTACAATCTCTTCACCTGCCGAGTTTAGTGAAATAATCTATCCATATAATATCATACTTCACATCGTCCATTAGATGATATTATCAATCGTCGGGATGCACATCTAGCATCACCTTCATAGATCACTATTGTCAGTAAGAGTTCACATTTGATACCTACTGACACCCATTTGGCCACAGTGATACGCACTCAGTGTCCATCGTGCCATCACCCAGCGTGAGCGCGCCATCTCCGCGACTCACCATTGCACATGAGCCCGTGTAATTCCACCGACGGACAGCAGAGACATAATTGCTATATACCTCACAGCTTATAACCACAACATTATCTGATAAAGATGATGACTAAGAATTTTTAAATTGTTAAGAGATGTGATGACTTTTAGATAGAGAGATATC